GAAAGTAGTTCATTCATTTTTCAGTTACTTATCCAGCATAAACCTCCCTAGGTCCTCTGTGTTAAGTTCCATACATTAAGATGTGTTCATGTTTATATATTTTTGTTTACAGGTACAGGCTTTTATTTATTTTAGGCTTTTATTGTGAAAACACCGGAAGGTCTGGGGAATGGGAGTGCGCATGTGTTGTGTTGAACATGGCGGGGAAAAATAAAGTTCGACATTGAGTAAAGAAAGTGCATCGTACTGTTTAACACTCTGTGCCAGATTTTCCACCACGGTAAAGGCTTTGGAGTTAGCTGATGGTCAAACCAGAGGCCTGAAGACGTCCCACCGGACTGACAGACACAGAACAACTGATTCAGTACAAAAGCCAACATCAGGCGACATGAACTCACATGGCCACTCCAAAGAACTCATGTTTGGCGGTGGAGACAACCACGTCGGCCTGACATAACACTCTGAGGTAATCTTCTCTACTGGTAAGGAAACCCCAGTTCAGGATGTGTGAGTCAAGCAGACTTCTGGCCTCCAGGAAGATATCTGCAGGACCACAGGAGAAAAAGACACATGCAGAATTAAACGATTCTTCCAACAGGTGAATTTCACTGTAAAGGCCAACCAGCTGGACAGGTCTCTGGTCTGAACTCAGAAACCTGGTCCAAACCTTAGACCAAGTGTTGATTAGTCTAACTTGGCTTTAGCTTGGTGTACCTCATGTGAACCTTCAGGAGTGATAGGCCCATGTGAGTGATTCTAACATGAAGCATATAAATGAAGTTCTACAAACACTTAATTTTCATTTCATGTTCATTTATTGATTTGTTTGATCAGGAACAGTACACACACTGATCAACATGAAATGAACATAAAGGAGTCAGATACAGCCAAAAAGGTAAATTTGTGTCTGGGCAGGTTGAGGTTAAAAATAAAGAAACTCGATTTGCAAGCAAACATAACGGCGTCCAAGTAGGACCCAGAGCACCACTGACCCAAGGCAAGTGTGAAGCAAAGCACACTGACCAACAAGGCGTTAACGCACGGTCCCCTATCCCTGCTCATCTGCCAGATCTACTATTGTGCTAATGTCAGCAGTATTTCTATTCATGGCGCCTAAATGTGTCCTGGTTGTTGCCTGCCTCTGTCTACCTGCCTACTGATTAAGGACCTCTGTATTGTTTTTGACCATGTAAATGCCTTTTTAATCTGCAGTTAATTTTATGGCTCTGAATCCACACGATGTGGTAAAAAGTCCTACTCAGTCAGTGCAGTCTGTTGATCTGAATATTCTGTGCTATACTGCAGGCAAGGAATGCAGTTTATTAGGTCAGTCTGATAGTTTATTAAGTCAGACTAATCCTCCTTCCTGAAAGTAATAATGCTCAGTTTCTGTTCAAATGGTTTAAAACAGGTGTTGATTCTACTTTATGGTCATTTTGTGTTATACAGAGAAGAGTTTCTATTGTTCAGCCTACCCTCACCGATATAAACTCGGTGGACCAAATACCAGAAAGCCTTCTCTGTGTGATGCAGTTCAGATCAACAGCAGCACAAACGTCAGCCTCCAAAATGATACTACATCTGAATCAGCACCCCTCTGAAAAAGTCTGAACAGTACCGCGTTCATTGAGGAGGACTTACTGTAAAGCTGTTGGATTCTAGCTAGCCAAACCCCATAAACTGCCAGCTGACTGCTTCACTTGTCAATCAAACTAAAATAATGATCTCCTAACACAAAGTACATTTCCAAGGCTACAGTGCCCATGACCCACTCCCCAAATGGGTTCAAACCATGGCTGAACGATTGTTTTCAAATCAAAATAGCGATTTAATGGAATGCAATACTTGGACGGCAAAAGCTGTGACTTATTAAATGCATTTTTAACCACTACAGATTCAATGCAAGTGGCATCTCTGCACACTTCAAGCACACACCCCCTGCTGTCCTCCCCAGGCTTCACATGAAACCTGCAGAGTGGATGAATGAGTGGGCATAGAAAGACACCACTACATTTCACTTTGGTGCTGCTAGCCATAACGAAAATAGCCACAGCGGTCAGCAAAACCAAATATCAGTGACCATGAGACAATCCTGGTGTCAGAGCAAAACAGTACGGCAGCCCTCTGGTCCTATTTAGTTTTTAGACCAAAGGTTGCACAGTAGGATCAGCTAACTACTGACCATGCCTGGCTAAGGTAGTGACACACACTGTTTACATGCACTTAACCAGGTTACTGAGAGCAAACCACATTATGGCAGCAATCAGATAAAGCATTTAGAAACATGGCAGCAATCAGGTTACTCAAAAACCCCAGTGTACATGAGATAAAAGCAGCCTGATATTTATGAACACAAAGCAGAAAGACAAACAGGTGAGCAGTGAAAACAAATTAATACTCCCCAGTATGATTGGCTTCCAGCACTCAAAGCTAATCACTAAATATGATGCTGGATCCATAGCCAGTGTGTTTATGCTTCAGTAAAACTGTCTCACTGTTGCAGAGTGTGTTCATTACATTAAAACAGGTGGTTATTACAGCACTGTCAGCTGATGATACATGGTGTTTTATCAATTAAAATGCTCTGACTTCCATGTCAGCCAAGAACTCACACTTACCTCTTACTGAAACTACAGCACAGATGCAAAACAGTTGGCAAGGTCAAGAAAAATCAAAGCATTTCCCACTTCTTTCAAAACTAATGAAAGTAAACTGGTCCCACAACTATTAGCTTCAGCTGGACTCGGTCTCAGACCCTGCTGCGTTGCACATATGCTTATGGGTATGCATATGATCTTAAAACCACTTGTTTCCAGCAGTGCTCTGATTGGATACACACTGTCCTAGTTATGCATGTACATGTGCAGTATCTCTGTACCTGGTATGTCGGTAAACGTCTCTCCAAGCACTGACACGTGGAAGTCAAGTTGTTTCTCCTTAAGCTTGAGCAGAGTGGAGAAGAAGAGCTCAGGGTTTTTGTCGTGTTCCCTTTAAATAAACAAACAGTTTCTCCGTGATTCTGGTGAACTAACAAATGCTCAGACTTCACAAGATCAGGAGGCAGAGGTGGTGTCTGTCAATGGAGCAACAGATGGATGAGTTAATGAAACCATGGTTCTTAAAGTCACTCTTGGATGCTACAACACAGATGATGCTACAACACAGATAATCTGACAGGAACACAACTTAAAGACAGGAAATCAGTTACTGTCTCACGTAGCCTGACCAGCTTTGTTTAAAACTGTGAAATAAATCATGAAGGACAGCGAGCACACATTAGAAACTAAATTTGGGTACAAAATTTTTCAAGGAAATTGTGGGACTTTTCTCTCAGAGTGCAGGTCTGCTTGTGGTTCCTAGAGTCCACAGAAGTAGAATGGGAGGCAGAGCCTTCAGCCATCAAGCTCCTCCTGTGCAGAAGGCCGCCCACCAAGAGCCAGGGTCTGTCAGAAGTTTCTTCCTTTAAAGGGAGTTTTTCCTCCCTGGTGTCGCCAAGTGCTGCTCAGGGGGTTTGTTAGGTCTTGCTTATAACGGTGTGAGGACTAGACCTGACTGTGTAAAGTGCCCTGAGACGATTGTTGTTGTGAACTGGTGCTATACAAAAAAAAAAAAAAAAAAAAAAATAAAAAAAAAAAAAAAAAAAAAACCTGAATTGAAGAAACTAGGGACACATTTGTCCTAAATTAATGTTGGTTCACAGTTTCAGCTGTTCAGTTTTTGGTGAGAAATTTTTGAAACAAACAAGCAAGATAATTATTAGGTAAAATCAATGATTAGGGAAAATGGGTTTTCCTGTTAAAAACAGCGCATTCAGAAGAGCAGACACACAAAGGAGTGATGAATCATTAAATTTACCATGGGAGCTTTTGTTCATGCTGTCCACTGAATATCTATTTAAAGTGAGACATTCCTTGAAGGCAAACTTTTTAGGGTTAGGGTGAGAGAATTTACAGTAAAAGTCCTTCTTGGAGACCGAGTAGATATTTTATCTGCTGTAAAGCACACACTGTAAATTTGCTGAAGCGATCCCTCTACAAATCAAATGTATTTTGACATCTCCCACGTTAAAACCCTGCTGGGTGTAATGCTTTCCCTGAGCTGCTGGAGGCCTGTTCCACAAACGAACCGTCACATTAGTCCTGACGCTGAGCCGTGCCGTCAGTGACAGAGCGATGGTGTGAAGGTCAAACAGCAGTCAGCGGGATGCTGTCCTAAGGTGACGTTGTACCGAGCAGATTACTTCCTCACATTTTCAACTCCCGGCCTCTCGTCTCCCCCTGGACACAAAGATAATTCTCTCATTTGCCCAAACCTTTAACTGTTCTGTGAGCAGCCTACCCCTCCGCTGCCTCCGAGCTGATACAGAGGACAAAGACTAAATGAGAGGGAGATAACAATGCTCCCATGTCCCCCCAAGAGGTGAGAGTTAATTAACGGGTGAGGAAACCATAGTCAGGGATCTCATTCACCATTGCCATTAAAACATTTCCACAAATAGTAAATGCTCTGAAATTAGACCCATTGGTTCATAAACTGAATAACAGCAGACCAATCAATAATAAGACTAATGTCACGGCCTTCTAGCAAAGGCCGTGACATTAGTCGGACTAAATCCATTTAGCTTCAGCTTGAATCATGAAATTTAAATTCCTATTGGACCAAAAGTTTTTAATTTCCTATGATATAGAGGAGTTTTGTCAGCAAATCCCCAGGATCCCCGTTCTCCTGGACTCGGAACATAGATCTTTAGGACTCTGGTGGGTGTTTAGGTTCAGTGTCATGCTTCAGGAACATCTAAACATCTGTTTAGCTTGGGGGCGGCTGTGGCTTAGGAGGTAGAGCAGGTCGTTTCCTAACTGGAGGATTAGCGGTTTGATTCCTGGCTCGTCCAGTCAACACGTCAAAGTGTCCTTGAGCAAGACACTGAAGCAATGAATGTGTGAGTGTTTGGGAATGGGTGAATGGCCAAATAGTGTGAAAGCGCTTTGAGTGTGCTATAAAAAGCATAGAAAGGCGCTATACAAGTAAAAGACCATTTACCACAGTTTCTCAGGATCTAATAACTGAGCACAAATCGCTGCATTAAAGAAGTTTCAGATAGTCTTGTTTTTAGTCCCGTTTCACGACATTGTATTTATGAACATATGATAAATGGACAACTAATGATTTTTCTGATTATCTGCTAATTTTCTCAACGAATCAATCGGCCAAGTCTGTACAAAGTTATTTACACACAAACCCCTGTGTGAGACAATCTGCAATAAATAAAAGGTTGTCAACCCACTTGTGGTTTCTCTAAACAATGCTAATTATAAGGAACATTTACAGTTTGTGTGCTCTGACATCTTCAGTGTTTGCTTTGTCCAACCAGCTCAGTGTCGTGTGACACCAAAAGCAAGCAGACACACATATTTTAAAAACACTCAGATCGATGACGGCAGCCCCGGCATATGTCACTGACTGACAACTGCTGGTGTTCAGTAGTCAGTTTTCTGCTGTCTGGGATCGGTGCGGTGCTCTGGGATGCTTCTTCACCACCTGCTGCTTGTTGTGTTTTGTCTTTTACACAGAGTCAGGACATAAAAGCTGATCCCGATCAACTTAAGCTCTGTCAATGTGCAGGACGAAGCTCTGAGGCTGCAGCTTCTTCACCTGAAACACCCATTTCCTCCCCCTCCTCCCCTAGAAACAGCAGCAGTAAGACGGAGCTGTAATCTGAAGATCCAGGCCACACGCAGATTAAACAAAAAACAGATGAGATGGAGAGAAGCTTCAATCGGAGATTAACTGAACCTCTGTGGAAAAATCCTCATTTCCCCCAAAATAAAAGTGTCCGGCCATCACTGTGATAATCCGGCAGTGTTTTGCTCAGTTCAGAGCAGCTTATACGACGGCTGCTTTTGTCAGCGATACAAGAGAAGGTGAAAAACAACCAACCACCGCTCAGCTTTATGTCGATAATCTGATTTACAAGCATGTTCAGGAGACAAAAGTCAAAGCTGAAAATGCAACTCAGCTCTTTCATCTATCTCGCTGATTCACAATTTCAGTCCAAACACAACCCGAGGCTGCGTTTATCAAGCAGTGTCAATGAAAAAAAAAAAAAAAGTCCTTTTACAAACTATAGAATTACACTGAGGAGGTCGATCTTAACATAAGTCACTAATGCACAGTATTATTTTGTCAGACCTACTTTTTTCAGAAAACTGGTGACTGTTCTTGGGAAACTACGGTTTGCTGCACATGATGATTTTCACATACTGCTGAAATACTTAACGGTCAAATATTTTGAAGACGTAGAGTAAAGTTTGGTGTCCTGACATCATACTTTGAACTTACCACCTGTGAGGCCACACAATGTGCAGAGGCTTCCCCTGGTCTTCAGGGCCCTCCTCGTGAACAGGCTTCTTGTCTGTTCTGGGTTCAGACGTGGGCCAATCCCCAGACCTGTCATGTTACGACAATAACAGGTACATTTTAATAAAAATACTAACAGGATATCATTGATTATTACAAAACCCAGCTCCATGTAACAGATCTTGTAATGATGAGGCATGTCATTACATTAAACAAACCTCTGATGTATTTACCCTGATGTCTGTGGTTGACCAGGACCGACCTTCTGCCAGCGGACCAGCTTGTGTTTCGGCAGCAACCTGAAAACCACAAGCAGAATAATCAGTGTAAACTCGTCTGTGGCTAATTTACATCCACCAACTGCAGATGAACAACAGCTACCAACTCTCCTAATCGCTCCTGAACACTTCGTCACTGCTGGTGACCACACCAGAGTTTACACTAATTAAACCATACTCATTTTACACCAGTCATTGTTCCCTGAAATGCACTGGAGTCCAGTCAGTTCCTGAAGGCTTTTATCATCTTCCCCAGCAACAATCAGAGAAGTGAACATTTCTCATATCAGGAACCAACACGGCAAATCTAACAGTTTTCAACGGTCGCACCAACGACGTGAACTGCCGGGAAACTAAAAGCAGACCCGATGTTCACTATGACTGAAAATCGCGACCAACGGGTCCAAAGTCCATACCGAAAACGCTCCAATCGACTCCCAAGTTGAGAACGACAAATCTGAAGACGACAAACGAGTCCCGAGTCAGGGTTCAGGTCAACAACAACTCGCGGGTTAATTTCCCAGTAACTCCCAAGTCAGTAGGTCAGCATCAACAAGTAAAAGTCGACACCAATGAGACCCTGGTCTAGTACAGAGTCGTGTGTTTCAAGTCTTATACACTGACGCTTAGACCGGTTATTGCTGTTGATAATCAAAATACAAAGTTAATACCAACAATTCGAACCAAGCTTCAAGTATTCATTCAGTTTTCAGGGTCTCAAATCAAGTTCTAAGCCTGGATCAACAAGCCTCTGGTCAAGTACAAAGTCCTAAACTTTGTGTTTCAAGCTTTAATTTAAGATCTTTAAACAATGTTTCAGGGAAAAAACAAAACAAAACTGATGTATAATCCACACCCAGTCTAGGCCAACTGGTTTCAAAGTCCCCGGTCATCACCAACAAGTCTCTGGCCAGGTCCATGTCTGAAACCCACCCGTCTTCAATCCGACTTGTTTTACATTGAGAAACTGATAATCAGCAGATATTACCTTTACAGAAAGGTTTTATTCACACAGACAAAAAAACTCACCTACAAATGAAAAATATTTGATGGATGATCTACTACATGACTGATATTTCAAAATAAAGTATATGGGGAAAAAAACAAAACAAACAAATGTGTAAGAGACTCGCTTTTCTTCCGTTCTCTGAGGCTGGCAGGTAAAAAAAACTGAGCTCACACTCAGAGCTGAAATATCTAAGCCCAGCTCAACCACACAAAGTATTAATGTGCACAGTGGGACTTATATCAACCTGAGGCAGAAGGATCAGAAAACACAAGGGTCCATTATACCTGTGGTTATCAGATCAGAGGCGCTGTAGGCCCTGAGAAGAAAAGAAACCCTGTGGAAAACCACAGACAACTGACTTGGAAGAAAGGGATGTGAAGAAACCATCCAAATATCCAGGCAAGATGTGAAGACATGAACACACACACGAACACACACACACACACATGTCAAAAGACCTGGAGACTTGAAGATGTAAAAAAGCAAACAAAAAAAAAAAACCTGAATAATTAAGACAAAAGCACAGATATGGAGAGAAAGCCCATAATAAAAAAAAAATAAAAAAAAAATTTAAAGACAGTCATTAAAACATTTAGTCGTTAAAGTGTGTATACCTAGGCATTTAAACATTGAGAGAAATGTCGACACCTTTTCAACCTAACGAAGACATTCAGGGAATAAAGAAACACAGTGACATCAGCAAAGTGTTTTTTAAAAGCCTCAAAGCGAAAGCTGGATGGACAGAAACGGACACGCTGTCCAACCGGCTGCATCACAGCCACGTCTCTGTGGGAAAACCTGACTCAATAATCCATTTTGGAAATGAGATGTTTGACTGGAGGCAAATAAATAAATAAATAAATAGATAATGGGAAGGGACCAATTATCTTCCTGATAAATCAACAGTAATCTGTGTGATGACCTCACCTCTGTGAACCCGATTAAAGATGAAAAGCCCAAGGTCAAAAATCATTCAGCTCATTTATCTCACTGGCAATAATCTCTTCACTAATGTACATTTAGCTACACACAGGATTGAACAAAGACACAAAGAGGTTGCGTATATTCAGTGGAAAGAGGATGAGACCAGTCAAACCAGCGCCTGCTCTCTTCATATGGGCTGTTACGACAGACTTCCCACACTTGAACCCGGCCTTTAAAATAAAACCTCCCCGACAGCTTCAGCCTGATTCTGGTCAAACAAGAATAAATATTTACTGAACTACATCTACCTGACAGATGAAGAAGAAGCAAGCTTCAGTCTTGCTTTTAGACAGATCGTATGGGAATATACTCGATTCAGAAGGAACCTCGTACTTGGAGACTAAAACTGAGACAGTTTTAGGCTCAGAGAGAAAAACTGGCCACTAAATCAGATTCTCTAGGGCTGACCCCAAACCAATGCTCTCATCTGTAACTCAGAAGTGAACTTTGAGGCTCAAGATGGGTTTGCCCTCAATTTTTATTTTTTTTTTATCATTTAAGAAATGCAGATGAGGTCTGTCTCAGAGCGACACAGAGCCTACGTCCACCAAACTGGACTGTTGTTAACGGTCTTCTGTTTGGCCTACACAACACCAGGGGCAGAAGGAGAAAGGCAAGGCAGGTTTATTGTAGAGCATATTTCATACACAGAGGCAACTCGCAGTTTTTTTTTTTTTTTTTTTTTTTTAAACACAAGTGAAAAACAACAAACATCAAAACCAGAAAAAGATCAGTTAAGACAAAACTGACATGCTCATGTAGTCCAACTATAGCAGGAATCCTCATCATCAGTTTTTAAGGGCACCGTTACATTCCCTAGCAGTGCCATAACATTATGACCACCTGCCTAATACCATGTACACAGGAGCAGAGGTGTAGCACTATTTGTTGAAATACCAGGGTGCACCTATGAGGCACGTGCGTGCATGTTCATTGTTGAGTTGTGGTTCCTCTCGAGGGCCATCTAAACACTTTTCCTATGGTGACAAGTTTACACACAGTACACTGATGTTAGTCGACTAACTGCCCTCAAGATCAAATGTTAAATGTATTTTATTTTCTGCTGTGGCACAAAAACAGTTTGAATTAGTCGCCATTTGAAAAAGAGAAAAACGGCAATATTTGTCACGAGTGGTCCTCAAATGCCTCCCAAAGCTATAAGAAAATAGATGCTCCCTGCTCCAAAGCGTACCGAATGCTCACCGAGCTCCTCCTGCATCACATCAACCAGCAGCAGTGAACACATCAGCTGTGTGTGACTGGTCAGCATGTGCCACAGTCTGGCTATCCTGTGCCCTGCTTGTGTCACATAGACCTACTGCTGATCACTCACAGGTACAACAGTCCTTCTACATCGTTTACTGCATGTTAAACGGAAAGTCTGTTTCTGCTGCTGATCATCTGATGTTTGTTTCCACAGGAGGTTACACCCCGGACCATCTCAGTTTCGTTCTGTCACTTGTCTTTTGCAAACAGGGTCTGTGGTTGACACTAAACCATGTCGCTGTGAGCAGTCGCGTTATCCTAATGCCTGATATACACCTCCACACCGACAGGAAATGACATCGTCCGTGGTATTCACGCCACCGCTCAGTGGTCAGAATGTTCTGGCTAATTGGTATAGACCAACTACAACAGGAAACCTTAACCTCCAACAAAACATTGTTAAAACGGGAAAAAAAAAATTGATGAACAAAATAAAGAGCAGTTACAGTGCAATGTTAAAACTAAACTGCTTAATCTCAACTTCATAACACGTCTACAAGGCTCTAAAGATGACAAACCAATGCCTCAGTAATTTTCTCAAAGATGCTCACTGTAGTTTTTACTGAACAAACAGTGCACTTGTTGGGCACTATTTTCAGTGGTGGAAGAATCCACATTTGGTCTCTTTTGAGTACTGGTGTCAGCTGAACAGGGTATGTGTATCTGAGTAAAAAGATCCAATGCTGGAACAACTTTGGTTTTTCCAAACATGGATTAAAAATGGTTCATGTGTCTTTCAAAGGAGGCTAAACTTAGCATCAGGGTCCAGCTCTGAAACCTGAGACTGCCCTGGTCTCAGCTGGGTCACACAGCCCATGTCATCAGCAAAGAGCTCTGGATCTCTGGAGTCTGAGATGGGACAGTTCAGGCGGGTGGACTGAACGAGTGTCAGCCAGTCATTACAGCACAATAAGATCCACATTAAGGTCATTATATGAGCTGACTGCTGAGTCCACCAATGACCCGATAACCAGAGGTGGGATACTGCTCAGACTCAAAGTGTTCTCCCAGTCTCCCTCTGGTGGGTTTGTGGCTCAGTGTGAAGTTATGTAACATTCATATGGAGGGAAAACTGCGACATCAGGAAGGACCAGATTCAGTCCAGAGGAGAACAGCTGTTGGACTGTAAAACTCCAAAGCCAACCAATCTGTCGGTTCATGTGCACATGCTGAGGATGACAATTGGACAGACGGCTGATTCATGTGTCACTCAGACCGATCATATACTGTGTTGGATATCAAGGTCCACTGGAACATGATTTGTCTTCTTCTCTTCTTAATCATCATATCACTTTATACCTATTTCTTACTAACGCACACACGGTGCATACTGTATCCTCTTATGGGACAGGAGCTGTGAGCCATTAGCTTGCTCCAAAATCATAAAAAAAAGAGGAAAAAAAAACTGTAAATCTATTTGCTGTAAGTTTTTTTTTCCAGTAAAAGCAGTTGAAGTGTGAGAGCATAAACCAAAAGAAGTCATGTAGACAGAACAGAGAAAAAAAGCTCAGTGATGAAGACGAGCATCACGCAGTCGCCTGTCCTCAAAAAGTCTTCTTCTCAAAAACATGTTTGAAAAGGGAGTTTGTCTTATAACTGGGGCCGCTATGTTCAGGATAATACTGCAGTGCGACCTGGGAGAAAGCGTAGTGGGCATTCCTCAGTATTTTCTGACATTTGACAGAAAGCCATAAACTATGGAAACCACAGTTAGTAGCAGCCATGTACTGACAACAAGCAACAGCGAGCAGCTTAGAGAGGATTTGGGCCCAGATACTAAACTAGGACAGACTCATTAATGCACTGGCTCCAGTTATCAGTGAAACCCAATCACAGCCAGACGGTACTCAATGAACAAGACCCCGCTCAAGCTTTTTGCAGTTTAGGCCCCCCCATGCACGGTTTAGTAGGAGGACTGCGGGCAAGTGAAGGGATTGTCGGCCATGCGTATAATCACTTACTTACCTCAGCGAGTTAGCTGTGGCTCAGACACATTAACATGTTAAAATGAGCTGAGAAACACTGGAGGGGGAGAAGAGCTGTGCAGCTCTGCCACCGACACGACCACACAGTATTTGTACACTGTGTTTATACTTACTGACCCGTTTGTTCTGAGTCTCTACTCAAGTCCCGATGAAACCACAGAAATCAGAGTTTTGTCTGGGGGACCACTGAAAAAAAATATTTCTCTTACTTAGAGAATCTTTATTCTAGACCCCAGCTTCGAATTCATAAATTACCGGTTGGGTCATATAATTTCACCACATACAACACAATACAAATTTATTTGTATAGCACCAAATCACAACAAAAGTCATGTCAGGACACTTTACAAAGTAAGGTCTAGACCTTACTATTCTCACCATTATAGAGGAAATGCCAACAAATCCCCCCCAGAGAGGGGCTCTGTGGACTTTAGGAAACACAAGTAAACCTGCACTCTGAGAGCCAAGTGCTCTGTTGGGATGATAAGGCACTATGAGGTCTTTAAGATACGATGGAGCCTTGTCATTAAGGGCTTTGTATGTTAGGAAAAGTATTTTAAAGTCTATTCTGGATTTTACATGGAGCCAATGGAGAGAAGCTAATATGATCTCTTGATAGTTCCTGTCAGTACTCTGGCTGCAGCATTTTGGATTAATTGGAGGCTTTTTAATGAAACAGCCTTTCACCTTGACGATACATACCCTCATGTTTTAATATTGTGAGATCTCATCACAGCCCATGCCAAAAGCTGCCCTTCCCTGTGGTGAGTGGATCTCCTCCTTCCTCTGTGTGACAATCCCTGAGGAGCTTCCGGACCAAACGACTTAAAAGCAGGCCTCTTATGTCATTCGAGGGCAGCTGTGATCGAACATGAACAGCTGTCAAAGCTGGCTGTTATACATAAAGACCTCGATCGCTCATACAGATCCACTGATGATGCACCGGTTTGTTCATTTCCATGCCACTCACTGTTAATTGGTGAAAAACCAGCTGCAAATTGCTGGTTTCCTTAGACATGTTGGAGCCACCAATGGCACACACATTAAAGTCATCGCCCCGAGGACTGACAAGGGCGCTTCTGTGGATCCAAAGCTAACCACAGCATTAACAGTCAAGTGGTTGTGAACTACGTGAACCTTGAGTCACTGGATTCAACGGCCAAACGGACCCCCACACACACACGACTCAAATGACAGCAGAAGCAGACTGAAACCTCGTTTTGAAAACATGTTCCCCCTGAATACACAACTTTATTATAGGCTATAGAATTAAAAAAAACAGAGCTGATGAAAATAATTTCAGACAGGCGAATCACATTATGAGCAGCTTTCCAATAAACTTGCTGCCTAATGCAGAAAGAGACGTGATAGAAAGCACATTACTACAGCGTATAATGAACCAGCTTCTTGTTTATACACAAAGCCTTTACTTGACCAATGGCGCCAATGTTGGCATTTCAGTTTCCAAAACAGCGATGTCACACTTGTTCTTAGTGGGATTTCTCCGTGCTGAGAATGAGAGGATGACGAGTTCTTAAGCTTTCAGGGCGATTCCTAGGAGTGGTTCTGAGAGTCATTATAAATACTTCTTGAAAAGTGCAATACCCAGTTTTTGGTAATTTGCCTGAGTTCACAGTGCTGGAAGCTACACCAAATCAGCTGTGACCCTACTAACCTGGAGGTTCAGCGACATCATGTCCTTGATTTGTCTCCTAGTTTACAGTCTAAGATCAGAGTCCAAGTTCACATGACGCTCACAAACAAACATGAACCCTTGCAAAACACACATCTACATAAAGACAGCCTCTATCTTTGTCATTCAACATCAGATGTACAAAGAGAAGTGGAGGAGGCCTGTCTGATAGCAGAGGACCTGAACCTCATTAAACCTGACCTGCTGACATCAGGGAACTGGACTGGGTAGTTCAGGACCACACACTTGGGCCGGATCACCTGCGCAAGGTCTCTGGGTCGGTGGTCTGGGATCTTCTTCATGAAGGAGGAGATGGAGGACAGGAAGGAGTCCATGTTGAAGAGGGAGTTGAACACCACCACATCTGACACCAGGCTGAAGGACAAAACAACCAGACTGAGACCGATCTAAACGTTGAGTCCATTCGTATGTGGATCACAGTTCTCCAGATGATTTGACCTGAGCCTGGATCACTGGGTTCTTTAAAACTGGTTTGAAATCTATCTGGGGCTGATCACTAATCAGTACTGAAAATAATAGTTTTGTGAAGAAGGAAAAGCAGCAGGTATGTGAAACTGGAAAGCTGGGGTTTCTTTTTTTGCCGAACAAGTCACTGAGATCAAAATTGGACACAAATGAATTCGATAATGAAGCTAGACTGGATCTTTTTAAGTCTCAAAAGGTGCAGATCATTGTTCAGGAGGTCGACTATGGGTTTGCTCTACTCGTGTTGACATGGCATTAGCAGATACAATCACCAGTCAGTCATTCTCATGCCGCTCAGCTTTTAAAAGTCATTTAAAAATGAGTGAATGTTTAAGCTGCAGTGGAGTCTGACACACCGCGGCCTCGCTGCATTTCATTAAACCTCACATTAGTAAAGTAACCTGGCCTCGGTCCAATCAGACATCTCGTAACGATCGGTGCCACGCATTCTTTAATGCTGCGGTAACGGCATTAGCCTGCGACCTATTGACAAGCTGCCCATCAAGTCAACAACAGTTTTCTGTTTCACATCTGATTGATGGGAGCATGAACCTCTTCAATTACACACAGCAGCATGTCAGTAATTAACTAATCAGCCCAGGTCATTAACCAATCAGATGCAGCCCGACACTAATTAAGACACACTGTGTATTTATGCTGCTCTCAGTTTTATATGGCTGCTTGCTATTAGAACTCACACTTATGAAATATTACATTTCTCACTGTGATGGATACATACAGCATGTTAAGTGCAGTGAACAGATGTACTTAAAGCTGTTTTGACAGCCGTAAACAAACCTCAGTAACTCTGCAACACATGGCAGATGTCACTGTTGAGTAGAATGACCATCAACTATGGTTATTTCTGCTCAGGCAGGAAACACATCATTGATCTCTATATAGTGGGTCTGAATAACAAGAACAATAATAAAACATTTCCAAGGAACACATAATAGCAACCCAATTAATTTTACACCTTTAGCAATGTATAGCATGTAAATCCAATGTCAATAAAACAATATTAAAAAGGACATGTTGGTGACTGCATTCAGACTCTTGTGCGTACCATGACAGGACCTGGTTGTATCCATACTGGAAGTCTCTCTCCTGGTCTTTGCGGACTGGATAAGCCAGCTGGTTCTCGTGAAAATACAGAACCTTCTTAAGACAGGCCAGATCTGGCCTGAGGGCCACCAGGTCACACAGATTCAGGACCGAGCTGCTGAACAGGACTCTGCAGAGAAAAACAGACAAACACTTACATTAATGGAAGAAAAACGAACCACAGACACTGTGGAATCAGAAACCTGATGTCTCAGAACCACATCGGTTAATTTTATTACAATTAAACGTTTTCATTAAAGTCATAAAATTGTCTGTGTATGTGGTTGATTACAGTTCTTGGAAAAAAAAAAAAAAAAGAAGTGGCAGGTCGAACAAAAACTGAATTAACCAAGAAAATTGCGAGTGGTGAATCTTTATCAGAAACCTTAAAGCAGTTGAAAGCCTATAAAAACACACTTCCAACTGTAGCCCTTTTGTCAAGATACATGGGCAGAATGAACATATTTACATTATTATTTAAACAGAAAACAAGTTCTTTGAAAACCCTTTTTTGCACGGCCACCCCATGCATTCCTTTGACTGATACACAAGTCCCATACGCCAACGTGGAGGAGGCGGAGTTTATGACCTATACTGCAACCAGCCGAGGGGGGGGCTTCACTTCTGGAAGCCGTTAGCCTGTCCATCTTTTATATGGTCAGTGGTTTAAACCTACTTGGCCAATAAAGCTGATTCTATACACAGGTTTCATACAACATATAAAATGTTGCGTGTAGCAGTTCTAGGTATGAGCACCACGCCGACAGCTATGTCCTGTACCACAGCTGTGCCTCATCCCGTTACATCATGTTCTGTGCACAGGTGTTACATGTACGAATGTGAATCTAAAGTCAGGTGAGCAAGCCTTTCCTGTGCAACTGTGACCTGCTGGTAATGTGGATGACCTGCGATACTGTGCGAGTCTCACCTGTATGACGGGCAGGT